CGAGGAGTGGCTGGTGGGTTTGAACCGCCAGCCGTCTGGTTAGCAGGCAAGTGTCTTAGCCACTATGCTACCAGAGCTCCCGTCATAGCATTCTATTTCCTTCATAGCACCAGTGACAATCTCCAATTATTTTATAATTATTTTGACTGCTGAGAAAATGTAAGCTCCTTGAGGTAGGAACTTCATCTGTTTTGTTCTAAATTTTTAGTGCCCAGATCAGTGGTTGGCAGATAATAGGTCCATAGCAATTATGTGTTAAATAATTGAGTAACAACTAGTTTTGTGATACTTCAGAGTTAAAATGACTCAGATTACAATGTTTATATGTAAACAAGCACAGATAGAAAAGATAACAAAAGAATCAAATTCCTTTGCGCTACCAATATTTAGGAGCATAGTGGCTAAGGCACTTGACTGCTAACCAGAAGGCTGGTGGTTCAAATCCACCAGCCACTCCTCGGAAGGAAGATTGGGCAATCTACTTTCGTAGTGATACTGCCTTGGAAACCCAAGGAGGGGTTGCTATGAATCGGATCTGACTTGATGGCACATAACAACAGCAACTCAGGGCTTTGAACCAATCTGAACTGGTTCAGCTGTTGGAGTGAAACAAGAAGAAACCCAAAATTTCTAAATGTGAATAATGAAGTGGCAATGGTGGTACAACTTTATTATCTAAAATCTTCAGTCCATAATGATAATCAGAATGGAAAGAATCACAGGTGAAAGCCTTGGAATGGGAGACTTGGAAGAGGTGTAGTGAGCCCTTTTAGGAGCCTGATGTGGAAGTCTGGATTACTGGTGAAACTGTGGAGCGCGATAAACAAAGTGGTGCAGTTGGCTGCCATCTTTAAGCCAGGTGCCACTGTTTCCCGCTTTGTGGGCAAGAGATTTAGTTGCTATGCAATGTGTAAACAGCCCTTAGAGGGAGGTTAAGCTTCTAGTAGGCCTATGATCCTTAAGTTTTCTCGTTCTGGTTATCACTGTGGTTCACCCAAATTTCAAAAATTTGAGTGTGTTCTGGTGTTGCTTCCTTGGCCACGACTGAACCAGGCTGAACCAGTTTGAGCCCTCGTACTACTGCCCACTTCTTATTTTGGAAGAAGAAACAAACAAATGATTGATGAGAGGTTTTTTTTCTTTAAACGATTGATGGGAGTATTTTTAAAAATAAACTAGACAAAAAGCTAAAATCTATTTTGTAAGATAGGGAAAATACATCAGCAAGCCAGGATTCTTTCTAGCAAGTATTAGCTTTTACATGAAAGTCAAATTTTAAAGGAAATTTTCTGATCTTACAGAGAGTATACATATAATTTATATACTTTTTAAAAAGCTTTTTTGAAATATGATTCACATACTATATCATTCACCCATACAAAGCATATAACTCAATGACTTTCACTATATTCCCAGAATATACATCCCTCACCACCACCAGTTTTAGAACATTGTCATTATCCCAAAAAGAAACTGTATCTCAAAGCTACCATCCCCAATCTTCCCAATCCTCCCAGCCCTAGGCAACTACTAATCAATCTACTTTCTGTCTCTGTAGATTTGCCAATTTGTGACATTTCATATAAATGGAATCATAAAATTTGGTTCTTATAACTGGCTTCTTTCACTTAGCATATTTTTAAGGTTTACCCAGATTATAGCATGTATGAGGACTTCATTCCTTTTTATTGCTGAAAATATTCCATTATATGTATATACCACATTTTACTTATCCATTCATCAGTTGAAAATTTGGGTTGATTCTACTTTTGAGCTATAAGGAATAAAGCGATTTAGCTGTAATATTGTAATGGAATGATAATCAGAATGGAAAGAATCATAGGTTTAAGCCTTGGAATGGGAGACTTGGAAGAGGTGTAGTGAGCCCTTTCATGAGCCTGATGTGGAAGACTGGATTATTGGTGATTGTCCCTTTTTCTTCCTCTCATTTTAAAACTTGCTCTGAAGTAATACTATCCTATATTCCCACTTGGATACCTGTGAAAACAGATCTTTTTCAGATCTTCCATGTATCTTTTACAAATGTCCTGCAGAGGGTCTCTCTTCAGTGGGCTGGTATCCACTAAGTTATCATTCCAGGAACCATTCCAGGGTTCCACACATTCTTCTATACATTTCAGAATTTCTTTATCATGAGGAGATGTGATCTGAGCTCCAGTTTCCCAATAAACCTAGATGACAGTAAATATAGCTATAATTATTTGAAATGTTTCCCAGAGTCTTAACTACAGTAGAGATCTTTGGCTTTATAAAAAAGCATACCAAATTAATCAAATAGAAGATATTGATGTGGGACTAATTTAATAAATATCAAAGGACACTGATGTTACTGAAGATTCTATAGGGACACTTCAATAATGCAGTCATGTATTATTTTTCTCTTTTAGAAGTATACTTTAATAACAATATAAGTAAAATATAAGTAAGGCATCATTATGATGACATTATAATATGCTTATATCATAGTACCAAATCATACCCTTAGATCTATAATTATTTACTAAAGATAAACCTTTGAAAGAAAGGAATTATCTCACAAAACTTGATACTATTATTCTCTAGCATTACAAAATGCTTCTGTCATATGCTATAGAAGAAATAATTTTTCAGTCATAAATTAAAATAGAATTTATATCATACCAGACACAAAGGCAGAAAAGATGATTAATATGTTAATTACTCATTTACATTTCCATAAGTAGTCAGTTTGTCAAGTAGCTTGATTAATAAGACTTTAGAAGTTACCCAAAAAGCTAGAAAATATATTTCTAATAATTCACAGGATATCAAAGTTAGAAGGCACTCTGCTTAGAGGATAGCTATACTGACTTTTATACCATGCGTATGATATAAATTCCCTCCCTCTATTGCAACTTAAGTGAAGGAAAAAATAATTTGAGTATCTATTTACTAAGTAAACTTAAACTAGATGATCTGAAAACACTTCCTCTATAAATACTTCAAAATGCTAGATAAAATATTTTTACAAAAAGCATTATCTAAATACATAGCTAAATAAAATAAAATAAAAGGCACAGAATAGCTCACAAGAAGGAAAACTCCAGGCAATAGGGAAAAAGAAACCATTGAAAATCAGTGTGATAAGGCAGTAAGTGGGCTGATGTAGTGGGTGCCTGGGGTTTGGGGACTATCCATTTAACTGGCTCTTGAGTTGCAATTCCCAGGTGCAAGGTAGGGAGCTGAAACTGAGACCCCCTAAGAAATACAGGATCCTTGAAGAGTTTTAGTTTCACTGAAACTATAGACCAGAAAAACTTCTGCCCACTACTATGGAGAGATGATGAACACAAGAAAGGAAAGAATAAAATGAGGTAAAAAGAAGCAGGCAGGAGACAGACCTTACAGAGTCCTTTAAGCCACAAAGTAAGGAGTTTGGATTTTATTCAAAGAAAAATGAGAAGCCTTTGAAGAACTTTAAGCAGGAGAGTGACATTACCTGTTTTTTTTTCCCTCCAAAGATCATCTGGCTGCTTTGAGGGGAATGGATTACAAGGAAGAACTGGGAAGAAGAGAGAAGACCAGGTAGGATGTTGTAATTCAAATAGAAAACAGCAAAGGTTTGGAAAGATGGAGATGAAGGGGACAGGCAGAGGTAGATACAGTCAACATATATTTGAGAGGTAGAAACTATAGAACCTGTTAATAGAGTGAACATCAGGAGTAAAGGAAAGGGGGTAATCAAGAATGATTTTTGGATTTTGTTTGGATGAACAGTAATGCCAATTTACAGAAATGGGGAGGTCTGGAAGAGGAACACATTGGGGGATGTACGTGGCAGGTTGTGAGGGGATCAAGAGCTCTGTTCTAGAGACACTGGCTTTGAGATATCTGTTAGATCTGAATGGTAGGCAGTTTGATATAGAAGTCTGGTGTTCAGAGAAGAGATTGGGTTCTTATCTGTGACAACTGACTTCTCCTGCTTCAAAGTCTCTCATCTCTTTGGTTTCTATTCTAGACTTTCCTAATCTTTCTTCTACCTCCTATCTATCACTCCTCTTCTTCCTCCCTTCCCTTAAAGTTAGAATTCCATAGGGATCCATTCTTGACTTCCTGTCTTTCTACTCTGCTGTCTCTGGGCTGCTTGACCAAGTAAAGAACTTGCAAATACTATTGTATGTATGTTGACTCCCAAATCTATCATTTCACCCCAGATTTCTCCCTTGAACAACAGATCTATGAAGCAACTGCCTATAGGACATTACTACCTGGCTGACCACAAAGACCTCAAACTCAATATGCTCAAAACTGAATTAGTACTTAAAAACAAAAAGACAGAGTTCCGGCAAGATGGCGGACTAGGCAGAAGGATTGCACAGACCCTCTTCAACAAAGAAAAGGGAAACCAATTAACACAGACACAGAAGATAATCGTGGA